ATGATGATGATGATGATGATGATGATGATGATGACAACGATGACAATGGTGACAATGATGACAATGATGACTATGCTCGCAAGGCTGTCGAATGACAATCAACGTCTGCATGCGCACAGGCGGGAAGCCGACCACGCTGGCGTGCAGCATCAGCTTGGACCTCGCAACGCACTGCGGCAAGCGTTGCTGCACCCCGCCGCGTGCCGCAGCACTTGCGATTGAGACAAAAGCAATATGTCCCAGGAACTACAGGCCCGAGGAGGAACGAGCAGGACATGTCGGGGACAGTAATCCTGATAGTGATGACTCACAAAACGCCATCACCCAGTAAAGGAGGGGACCAGAAGCACCGATGAGCGCTGATAACGCAAAGCCGTCAAGAACCCAAGTAGTACGATGAAGATATGCATCTTTCCACGACGCCCAGCCACGCCCTCGACAGAGCGAGTGCACCGCCGTTGCCAAAGAGCCAGATCGGGTGCAAGATCATGATGATTTAGAGTCGCATGCCTGTCGAACGACAATCAATGTCTACGTGGGCATAGGCGGGGAGCCGACCACGCTGGCGAACAGCACCAGCTTGGACCTCGCAACGCACTGCAGCGAGCGTTGCTGCACCCCGCCACATGCCGCAGCACCTGCGAACGAGACAGGGGCGACCTGCCCCAGGCACTACAGGCCCGGGGAAGAAGGAACACGACATGTCGTGGAGGGTTATCCTCATGATGATGATGATGATGATGATGATGATGATGATGATGATGATGGTGGTGGTGGTGGTGATGACGATGATGATAATGATGATGATGATGATGATGATGATGGTGATGGTGATTGTGATGGTGATGATAAGGATGAGGATGAGGATGAAGATGAGGATGAGGATGAGGATTAGGATGAGGATCAGGATGATGATGATGATGATGGCGGTGATGAAGATGATGATGATGCTTATGATGACGGTGATGATGATGATGAAAATGATGATGATGATGATGATGATGATGATGATGATGAGGTGATGATAAAGATAATGATGATGGTGATGGTGATGATAAGGATGATGGTTGTGGTGGTGGTGGTGATGGTGATGACGATGATGATAATGATGATGATGATGATGGTGATGGTGATGATAAGGATGAGGATTAGGATGAAGATGAGGATGAGGATGAGGATTAGGATGAGGATCAGGATGGTGAGGATGATGATGATGGTGATGATGAAGATGATGATGCTGCTGATGATGGTAGTTGTGCTGGTGATGATGATGGTGATGCTGGTGATGGTGATAATGATGGTAGTGATGATAGTGATGGTGATGATAATGGTGATGGTGACGGTGACGGTGATGGTGATGGTGATGGTGATAATAATGGTAATGGTGATGGTAATGGTGATGGTAATGATGATACTGATGACGATGGTGATGATGATGATGATGATGATGATGATGATGCGGAGGAGGACGATGATGGCCACGATACTTCAGATGCATATGATGTGTGTGGTGGCGATGGTGATGGCAGTGATGATGGTGATGGTGATGTGGATGATGATACTGACGATGGTGATAGCGGTGATGACGGTGATGATGATGATGATGACGATGGAGATAATGGTGATGCTGGTGGTTAATGTGATGATGGATATGATGATGTTGCGTAGTTTGTTGATGATGATGGTGATGCTGATGATGCTGATGATGATGAGGAGGAGAAGGATGAGGATGAGGCCGAAGATGAGGATGAGGATGAGGATGAGAATGAGGATGAGGATTAGGATGAGGATGAGGATGGTACTGAGGATAAGAATGGATGGGGATGAGGATGAGGATGAGGATGAGGATGAGGATGGGGATGAGGCTGACGATGAGGCTGAGGATGAGGACGACGACGACGATGATGACAGTGATGATGATGATGATAATGATGGTGATGATGATGATGATGAAGATGATGATGATGATGATGATGATGATGATGGTGATGATGATGATGATGATGCTGATGATGATGATGATGATGATGATGATGATGATGATGATGATGATGATGATGATGATGATGATGATGATGATGGTGGTGCGGGAGGGGCTGTTCCTGCGCGGGCTGCCGAGAGAAAACTAAACCCCCCTTGGATGTGGGGAACAAGGACGAGACGTAGAAAAAGTATAGGTATAATACGAATAAGAATTGTGATAACAACAATACTAAGAAAAAACAACACGCATTATGATAACGGATGTCATGGCCCTTCCCGTGTTCGCGGGGGCGAGGGGGCAGGGAGCAGGGGGAGGGGGGCTGGGCAGAGGCGCGGGGTGATGGAAGGGAGGCGAGTGAAAGAGGGACGGGGGGGGGGCCGTGGGTATCAGACCCAGTCAAGCTAGCCACAGCCAGTGGAATAGTGAGAGGAAGAACAAGGAGCAAGGGGAAAGAGGAGCAGACAGACGGACACCCATTCACAATCCACATCGCTGGGAGGAAGCCTCGTGGAAGTACCGAGCGAAAGGCAAAGCAAGAGAGCCAAAGCCCAAACAGAAGGCCTACTACAAGGCCTTGCAAAGCGACTCGCAGATGCCCCAGAATAACACCGAGTGGAAAGACGAACGGTAATCTTGATATAACCCCTCCTAGAAATCTGACAGGAGGCCCAGTGTAACGTACAGAGAAGGAGACCTACAGGGAGGCCTCGTAGCAGCCCTCGTAGAAGACTTTACTGAAGGCTCCGTAGAAGGACTTGCAGGAAGAAGCTCCGCTTGAAACAAAAGCATGAGGCCCGATGCAGGGCCGACTAGGCGATGCAGTGGAAAACCCAAACCGTAGCCGTCAGGTAGCCTCGCAGGAGGCCTGGTAAAGGCTGAATCAAAGGCTTCGTAGGTCACATATCTTTGGGCATCGCGCCACGCGATGCGCGACGCGCGATTACATTCACGTCCTCCCGTCCTCGCGTGGCCCCGCTGGAGAAGGGCAGCCAATCTGGCCCAGACCACGACGCGAGAAGCGCGATTATCGTCGCGCCCCCGCGGGTGACCTAGGCACCAGTCCTTCTCGGAAATAACAACCTAAAAGCTAAGCACAAGAAGCGTTGCGAAGGTCCAGCATGACGCCTTCAATGAAAACTGGTAGAAAGCCCGGAAGGATGTTTCCTGCACTACCTCGTAGAAAACAAGCGATAGACATCCTCATACATGGGCTTACAGAAGGCCATCAGGAGGCATAGTGAGAGGCCTGATGGAAGGCCCAATGGAAGGCCCAATACAAAGACTCATTCGCGGCCTCGTGGGAGGCCAAGTCCATGTAGATAGACTTACGTAATGCTAGAAACAGGACTCCTGGGAGTCCTGGAAAAGAGAAGAAAAAAAACGGGTCTTCGAAGTCTGGCGAGGGGGCCTGGTCTTCGTCAGGCTGTGGAGGCTGCCCCTTCGGCCGAAGCACATCGTACTGCCGTCGTATGAGGAGGTCTCGGTATCCGTGTCCTGAACGCGAGATGCCATGCGCGTGCTTCGCCCCCTCAGGTTCTGGCAAGCTCTTCCCGTAGGCTAGAGCTTGCAGCATCGCAGAGAAGATGCTGATAATGATGCGTACCATGACCCATACCAGGGCTTCGAGGGATGTGGAGAAGATGCCTCTCCCCTCCGTGCCCCCCACGGATGCTATGCGAAGAGCTCTAGTCGCCCCGAGCTCTGCATCCTCTTTGAACCACGCCCTACCTTCCCTCTCCTCCCATCCTTCCTACCATTCCTCACATCTCCTTTGCTTCCCTCGATGCTCCGTCCCTTCCGCTCTGCCTCCGAGGCCATCCCTTCCTCCCTCCTGCACGCGGCAGGCCCGCCACGACGGCGTCGGAGCCGTCTTGGGGGGCCTGTCAACCTGTTGAGTGCCTCTTGTGAGATCTTGGGGCAGCTCGGCAAAACCATCTTTGAGGCGCCCAAGCGGGATTGGGGGCCGATCGAAGACGTTTCCTGCGGGCCATGGTAAGCTCACCTCCGCCAATGCTGGTCACTGTAAGAGACAGGCCGTGCTGGCCAGCGGAGACTATGCTCTCCGCGGGAGGAGCTGACCTGCAAGTCGACTCGGCAGCTTGACACGCTTGTGCGCGAGTGGCATGCGGAGAGACCCGCTGCTAAACAAACAGAAGTGACTGCCAGGGGAGAATGCATGGGAGGGGGGAGGAGGGAGGAAAGGAAGCGCGACTGGCTCCTGAATGAAGACTCACACAGATCGATGGGAGGTCCTAAGGCATACTTCACCTGCCACTCGGCCTGTCAGCGTGACAGGTCCTGGCGCGAGCAGCAAACCTACTGCCATTCTCAAGAATCTTCGCTTCTATGAAGTTCAAGTTGAAGGAGGGTGAAGGAGGGAGGAGAGAGAGAAGGATGAAGGATCAGGAGCGATTGGCTCCTGAACGCAAAACGCTGAGCTGTCATCAGGCGGCCTTACCCGCAAGTCGGTCTGGCAACACTACTCACCAACATGCGAGTTGCATACCGAGGGACCCGCCGAAGACTCTCCGCTGCCGAAACGCCACGCGGATTGTTCCTGGAAGTTCAGTTTCCGCTAGAGCGCGGCGCATGTTTCTGTTTGATCGCCAGTCCTGCCTGGAACTTCTCCGCACGCCAGCGAGCCGGTTGCTGTTTTCGTCTTCAATACCAAAGCTTCCTGAAAAAAGTTGCTTTCCCGCCTGGGCGCGGACGGTGGAGAAAGAAAGAGAGAGAGAGAGAGAGGAAGCGGGAGATGGGGACAAGGGAACTGTCCAACATTTAGGCGGTTCCCCTGTGCAGTCTCGGCGTACTTCCATACCGTCCGAGGCATCTCCGAGACGAGTCCGCGGCCAGGTCACAACAACTCAGCACGGCGGATCGCAGGTGGGGTGGTGTTGTCTGGTTCTTGGTCGACGCAGGGGGGAGGGGGGAGGGCGGAGGAGGGAGGGGAGGGAGGGGGAGGAAGGAAGGACAAAAGTAGTCCCGGGCACGCTTCCCTCTCGCTGGGGCCTCGGCATCAGGACGAGTCCTTGGCTCCGAGCAGCGCCGCCCAGGAGGAGGCGGACCCAGCCCTGTCCCGGCTCATCGTGGAGCCGCGGCGGAAAAGCTTCTGCAGCGGGTGGAAGCCGTGATCTCCGTGGGGCGAACCGTTGCTCGCGCCGTCGTCGTCCACGGTGGCGAAATTCCGATCCCACTCCGAGCCGTCGTCGCTGTACGGCTCGTCGGCCGGAGGGGCCGCCCGCTCCGCTGCGCTGAACCCCTGGTCGAGGTCCCTCTCCTCTTCAAGGGCAACGGTACGGGGCGGCCGGCTGAGGGGGGGGAGAAATATCGAGCTGAAATCGGCGATACATCGCCGATACGTCAGCGATAGGCCCCCGATAGCGAAGCCTCACGGTCGTGAGCAGGGTGGGGCCATCGGGCCCTTAGATCGGTCGATGTGCCCCCCCCGAGCCTAATTATCCCCCTGCCGTTGCCCCAGACCTTCGGCTTGTACGGTGCCCTCAAAGCCCGGTCGCGGAAGAGATCCCAGTCGAAGCCTCGGTACCACCGGTGGCCCTGCAGCTCCGCCAGGCCGGCGGGCAGCACGGGCATCCTCTGGGAGGGCTCCGAGCGCAGAAGCGCCCTGATGAGGTCCCCGGGGTCGCCCTGGCAGGCCTCGGGGAAGCTCGTGTTCTCCACGCCCGCGACGACCTTCCTCCAGATCTTCATCTCGCTGATGGCCTCGAACGGGGTTGTGCCGCAGAGGAGCTCGTAGATCAGGACGCCGAGCGACCACCAGTCGGCGGAGTGCGTGTAGCCGGTGCCCCGGATTACCTCCGGCGCCAGGTACGTCGGTGTGCCGCAGAACGTCATGGCCGTTCCGCTGGTGACCTTGGCGAGGCCCAGGTCCGCGAGCTTAGGCTGCCCCTCCGCGTCCAACAGCACGTTCTCGGGCTTCAGGTCCCGATGGATGATGTGAAGATGCTCAGAGCGGCCAAGACCAGTGACTCAGCATAGTCAGACCTGTCCCCGTCCCCAGTGGGCCAGGCAGCCTTAGCGCCAGAGGCCTACCCCTCGATGCGGGCATGGATGCCGCCAAACCCGACGGAGACGGCATCCATCCACCCCCATCTGGGCGGATCGGACAGCGGGGCCAAGGCTTTCCAAGCGGGGACGGGGATAAGCCGAACGATGCTGAGCGACGCAGAGAGTCGCCCCTCTCTTGCGGTTCCGCCGAGGGGCGAGCCAGGCTCGAGGATCGAGGTGCTTGGGCACTGCTGACCCTTCTGGACCCCTGGAGGCCTTCGGAAGCCTGCGGGGACCACTGGAGGCGCCTTCGGCGGACCTCTGGGGACCTCCATGGCCCTTCGTGGACCTCTGGAGTCACGGGCCTCTGGCGGCTTGACAAACTCGCGCCGCGGCTCTTTTGCACTTGCAGCGTCCAGGGGGCGCCCCACGGGATCCAGGACGGTCAAAGCTCGACTGGGACAGAGGACGGGTCTCCGTGAAGGGGTGGAGTACTGCGAGCGCTCGCGACCCCCCCCAAAAAACAAGTCGTTGAAGGGCCGGGTAGGAGGGGGGACGAGAGGAGGCTGGACTTCACTGTCATGCGGCCTTGACTGCCCCGAGAATGGTGCAGGTGCTCGAAGGCTAGCACCACCCCTGCGGCGTAGAATTTCGCGTGTCTCTCACTGCCGTAGAAGCCCCTGCGATTGTAAACTGTGTGCAGCTCCCCCCCAGCGGCGAACTCGAGGAGCAAGTAGAGGGCAGTTGCCGTGCTGTACGTCTCAAAAAGCCTCACCAGGAAAGGCGAGCTCGTCATCAGCATCAAATTCTTTTCGTTGACGATACTCTGCTCCGCGCCCAGCTTGCGCAAGTGGCTCTTACTCAAAACCTTCATCGCGAATCTCCTGCCATCACGGTGCTGCCAAAGCTCTACGTTCCCGAACTGCCCACTGCCGAGGGGTCTGACCTTGGTGAGGTCGCGCATGTAGGTGACCTTCTCGCGATACGCCTGCCTTTCGGGTGCAGAGCTGAGCAGCTTGGACGTGTAATAGCGGTGCACGGCCGCTCGAATCGAGATGCGGTGCAATTGCCGCACCGTCCTGACACTCTGCAAGTCGTCCAGGGGACCCACAAGCATCTCGAAACTGTCGCGAAGAAGCGAGAGGCTCCGAGCCGATGACGACACTACCTTGACGTCCGCGCGGCATGGGAGGCCTCCAAAGAGCGCCTGCTCCTCAAAAACATGAGAGGTCTGCTGCAGAGGCGGCGCATGACCAGCACTGGAACAGCACCAGCTCGCAAAGGCTGAACCGCAGCCTCGACCCCTCGAGGCGACGACGTGCCGCCTGGGATGAGCTCGCAACCGGCACGTCTCCTTGCCGTCGACGATCACCGCCACCTGCCCCTCGATGAGGATGTGCAAACCGGTGGACGGCAGGCCTTGCTCAACGATCAACTCGCCCCTCTGAAACGTGTTGACGTTCAACGCCTTCGCGAGCTCCTTGAGTTCGTCTTCCTCCAACGTGCCGAGAGGCCCAACCTGCCTGAGGCACGCCACATGACCCTGGAGCTCTTCCTCGTGGACTCCCATAAGTATGTCCCTGAAATGCGTCCGGTCGATTCCCCACAGCACAGAATCCTCCAGAGCGCGCGCTGTGGCAAACCTCGGGGTGCTATAGAGCAGCGCAAGCTCCCCGAAGCTGCCGCCGGTGGCGATCACCTGGTCGTAGCGCGGCCTGCGGCCTGCGACAGCCGAGGCAGACGAAAACCTTGACTTTGGCGTCGGATCACTGCGACGCACGTGATTGAACCGTGCGTGCGGGGACTGGACAGTGTCAGCGTCTGCGGAATCCACCGAGACCACAGAATTCTCGCGGACGAGCTCGGAAGAGGCCGTGGACGGCTGACGGAAGATGTCGTTCATGGAGGCCCCTGAACCCTCGCGCGCGATGGTGTGGGCACCGAGGTCATCTGTCTTGGTGCTCTTCATCATGAATGCACCCGCCTGCACAACGTACATGCAGTCGGCGAGGTCTCCCTCCACCATGACGTCGACTCCTTGCTTGACCACCTCCTTCCAGGCCACGTCGACCATCTTCCGCACACGTTCCGTGTCCAGGGTCACCAGCGTCCGCAGGTTCTCGTTCGCCCACAGCGCCTCGGCGATCAGCTCCCTCTCGCTCGGGGTCTTTGGAGTGGGTTCCCTGTTGCACGTGGTCGCTACGGCAGCCCTGATCGCCCTGCGGCCTTTGAACTGCAACTTGCGGTTCAGCCCCAGCTTCCAAAACTGGTCACGGGTAATTTTGACGGCCGAGACATCAGTGACAGCCTGCAGAGTCGCCTGCCGCGGCTCGTCGTGCAAGAGGGACTGCTCCCCGAAGTCCGCTCCATCGCGCCACGTCGCAACCTTCTTGCCGTCCACCGTCACGCTCACCTTCCCTTCCAATATCGCGATGAAGAAATTGCCTGCGTCCCCTTGCCTCACGATCACGTCCCCAGCCTTGAACCTCTCGTGCTCGCACGCCTTTGCCAACTCCACGTGAATTCGCTGATCATGGGGCAGGTGCCTGAAGAGCCTCGTGCGATTCAGCAGCACGACGACCTCCTGGAGTCCCACGGTTCCGTTCACGGCGCTCGGAGTCCTGCGACCGAGGTGATGCCGTGGATCCAAATCCAAAGTTTTGGACTGACAGCAATTGCCCATGTCATCAGCGCCGAAGGACTGCGCTTGGAGCCAGCGCGGTGCCCCCCTTACTTGCCAGAGAGGCGGAGAGTGTAGAGAGAAGGGACGAGGAGGGCAACGTGCACAGGGAGGGAACGGCGCGGCGGATGAGAGACGGAAACAGCGAGGGGGCACGGCTAACTGAGCCGCTTCAATGATGGAACCTGGCGCGGTCAAGACTCTGACCATTCGACTTCTGATAGCGACAAGTCCGAAAAGCAAATTCGCAGCCGCGCCTCCTGGCACTTAGTGGCGTGATGGGGTTCCCCCTGTGCTGCCTTGCTGTCTTTACTCCTGTGTTGAGAGTCCCCTCCCACTCACGTTCGCTTTCTGGAAGGGTATGTTGCCACCTCGCGGCGAGCTCCAAGATGGCCAAAGAGAGCCCGAGGAGCTTTCAAGAGCTCACAAGATGGGTCCAAGACGAGTTCAAGTTCAAGGGGCCCCAAACAGACCCACGAGGTCCTCACGAGACCTCTCAAGAGTCCCAGACTACTGATCCGCCACAGTGCCGTAGGCAATGAGGTAAGTGTCATCAGGCCCCTTCGAGTCCTCAGTAGTGAATCTTGCAAATGCTCGTTAAGAGGACCGACTTTTCGAACTCTATTGATTTCTAGGCGTTCTCGGGGGTGGCCGCGTCGCGTTTTCGGAATCATCTGGAGCGCGGTGTGGAATCCAAGCATCCCACATGCCCTAAAATGGTCCCATGGGGACGTCCTGAGGCTCTGGGAGGCATCTTAGGCCGTCTTGGAAGTCCTCCGGGTCGGCCCAAGAGGCAAAAATGTTTGAAACACTGTATGTGCTGCTTCTGTGTGTTAACTTCTCGGTTGCCGCGGCATACCCACGCTAGCCTCGAACGCAACGGGTTCACTCCGACGCTGCCGACCAAAACAGGTTCGACTTCTCAGCTTTTCGGTCTTACGAGCATCCAAGACGGCCCAAGAGACCCCCAAGACCTGCCAAAGAGGCCCCAAAGAGAATCCCAAGAAGAAGAATTCCAAGAGGCCTCCAAAACAGCCAGCAGAACCCCAAGAGGCGCCCAAGAAGCTTCCAAGAGGCCACAAGCTCCAGGAGGCACCCAAGAGGCCCCAGAGAGGGCTCCACGAGGCCGCAATGAGACCTCGAAGAGGCCGAGAGCCACTACATCCGCCGGCCCCTGTGGACTGCCGCCGTACACGGGGCCCGACACGCCGGCCGCCCAGAGAAGACCCTAAGAGGTACAGCTCGTGAGCTGTTCTGCCCAAGATGCCCTGAGACGGCCCAGAGGTGCTGCCAGGAGAGCATCCGAGCGCGCCAGGAAGCCGAAGACCGCCCCAAGACTGTCCAAGAGAGCGACTCGGCCCCACCAGGGCCCAAAGAGGGCCCCCGAAAAAAAGTTACTCGACGCGAAAATCCCCATTTTGTGTGCACTCCGTTCCCTAGCACTGTCCACTGTGAGCATATGGCTGCGAGTGTTGGGTGCGCGCGTGCGTCCGAATGGACGACGGGCACGACGGCGACGACGACGACCACGGCGGCGGCAGCGGCGGCTACGACGAGGGACGATGGCGACGACAACTCCCAAACAGCCAGACGCTGACGAGGCCACCTCCCCTCTCCTTCCTCACTCCTCGTCGCAGCGCCTCCCTGATCTTCCTCCCTGCTCCCTCCTGCCTCCTCCTGCATTATCCTCCTTGCTCCTCCGTCCTCCCTCCTCCTCCCGGGCGATCGTCATTATCCCTCCTCCTGCGTGTTCATCCTTCCTCTTTCTGCTCTTCCTCCTCTTCCTCCTCCTCCTCCTCCTCCTCCTCCTCCTCCTCCTCCTCCTCCTCCTCTCGCCTCCTTCGTCTTCCGTACTCCTCCCTACCAAGCCCCCTCCTTGGCGGCATCCTCCCCTCTCCTTCCTCTTCCTCCTCGTCCTAGCCCCACCCTCCTCGTCCTGTCTCCTCTCTTCTCCCTCCTGTTGCGCCCTCCCTCAACCTCCTCCCTGGCGGCCGCCACTACACACCATCTGGCTGCGAACGGGCGAGTGTCCCCCTCCATGACGGTTCCCACCTGAGGGTGCTGAAGCCTGCGCTTCGCCGGGGACATTCTCGCAACCTGCTCTGAAAGCAAATGAAACCAAGCCATCAAACACGCCAACCTTTCAAGACGTTCCCACAATCTGGACGCGAACGGGCGGGTGCTCCCCTCACTGGCGGCTCCCCTCGTGGGGTGCCAGAACCAGCGCCTCGTTCGAGGCATCCTCACAACCTGCTCTGAAAGCAAAGAAGTCCTAGTCACCAAACGGAGGAATCGCTCGAGGCATCCCCACAGTCTGACCGCGAGCAGGCGAGTGCCCCCCCCCCCATGGCGGCCCTCATTGGGGTGCTGAAACCAGCGCCTCGCTTGAGACATCCCCACAATCTGCGCTGAAAGCACAATGAGTCTGAACCATCAAACCATCACACCGCTCGAGGCACCCTCACAATCTGAACTCGGACGGGCGAGTGTCCCCACCACCAGCGTATCCCCCATCGGAGCGCTGAAGCCAGCGCCTGGCTCGAGGCATCCTCACACTGTGCTCTGAAAACAAATATCCCAGAGCGACCCTACCTAGGAGTTGGAGCCCCGAGGAGAGCAATATGCTATGCTATGCTATGCTATGTTATGCTATGCTATGCTATGCTATGCTATGGTGCGATACGCTATGTTATGCTATGCTATGCTATGCTACGCTGCGCTGTGACATGATAGTATATGATATATGGTGTTATGGTATGACATGTTATGACATTATATGATATGGTATGTTATAATATGGCATGATGTGTTATGTTGCGCTGTGTTATGATAAGCTAAGCTATGATATGATGTTGTATGGTATGCTCTGCTGCGCTATGATATGCGCTGCTATGATATGTTATGAGATGGTATGATGCGCTATGTTATGATGTGCTATGGTATGCTATGATATGCTATGTTATGATGTGCTGTGCTATGCTATGCTATGCCATGCTAATGCTGCGCTGTGCAGTGCTATGCTATGCTAAGCTGAGCTAAGCTAAGCTAAGCTAAGCTAAGTTAAGCTAGGCTAAGCCAAAATGAGATAAGCAACGCTAAGCTAAGGGGACGTACCGAGCGTGAGGCGAGCCTGAGAGTGACTGGTCTGTGCGTGTGAGTCTGAGTGTGAGTGAGCCTTGGAGTGAGTGACCCTCAGTGTGTACGAAAAATTATCCCGGCAAAGCAACCTAACAGCGATGTGTAGGAGCATATCTGGAAGCATTCCCCTTAAGATTCAGATGAGAATCCACTTGTAGAATTCTGCTGTTCTCGCAGTCGTAGTCGCATTCGCGATGACAGTCGCAGTGGCAACGGCAGTCACAGTCACAGCCTCAGCCTCAGCCTGCCTCAGCCTCAGCCTGCAGCCTCAGCCTGCCTCAGCCTCAGCCTCAGCCTCAGTCTGCCTTCAGCCTCGGCCTCAGCCTCAGCCTGCAGCCTCAGCCTGCATCAGCCTCAGCCTCAGCCTCAGCCTGCAGCCTCAGCCTCAGCCTGCCTCAGCCTCAGCCTCAGCCTGCTTCAGCCTCAGCCTCAGTCTGCCTCAGCCTCGGCCTCAGCCTGCAGCCTCAGCCTCAGCCTGCATCAGCCTCAGCCTCAGCCTCAGCCTGCCTCAGCATCAGCCTGCCTCAGCCTCAGCCTCAGCCTCTGCCTCAGCCTCAGCCTGCTTCAGCCTCAGCCTCAGTCTGCCTTCAGCCTCGGCCTCAGCCTCAGCCTGCCTCAGCCTCAGCCTGCATCAGCCTCAGCCTCAGCCTCAGCCTGCCTCAGCATCAGCCTGCCTCAGCCTCAGCCTCAGCCTGCCTCAGCCTCAGCCTCAGCCTGCCTCCAGCCTCAGCCTCAGTCTGCCTTCAGCCTCGGCCTCAGCCTCAGCCTGCCTCAGCCTCAGCCTGCATCAGCCTCAGCCTCAGCCTGCAGCCTCAGCATCAGCAGCCTCAGCCTCAGCCTCAGCCTGCCTCAGCCTCAGCCAGCCTCAGCCTCAGCCTGCAGCCTCAGCCTCAGCCTCAGCCTGCCTCAGCCTCAGCCTCGGCCTCAGCCTCAGCCTCAGCCTGAGCCCTCAGTCTGCCTGCAGCCTCAGCCCTCAGCCCTGCAGCCTCAGCCTCAGCCTCAGCCTGCCTCAGCATTCAATATGTGGCCCGGGAATGGAGTTCTGGGAGCTCGAAGAACACGAAGTGGCCTACAGTTTGCTCAGCATTCAAGATCATGTCCAGGAATGGAGTTCTGGGAACTCGAAGACCACGAAGCGGCCTACAGTTGGCTCCGGGCATTCAAAATCATGCCCAGGAATGGAGTTCTGGGAACTCGAAGACCACGAAGTGGCCTACAGTTGGCTCTGGGCATTCAAAATCATGCCCAGGAATGGAGTTCTGGGAACTCGAAGAATACGAAGTGGTCTACAGTTGGCTCTGGGCATTCAAAATCATGCCCAGGAATGGAGTTCTGGGAACTTGAAGACCACGAAATGCGTTACGGTTGGCTAAAAAAGGAGTCCCCGGTTTTCCGGGGCACCCGTCCGGATCCCGCCCAGACACCCCTGGGGAGACATGATGCTCTCTGTTGACCCTACTAGAAACCTATCAGTCTTCGCTGTTAGGTAATATTGTGAATACGCTGGGCATGAGTGAATCTGAGTGTGAGCGAGGCTGCGTGAAAGGAAGCCTGACGATGGGTGGATATGAGTACGCGTGGGTATGAGTGTGAGTGAGTCTGAATGTGAGTGAGTCTGAGTGTGGGTGACTCTGAGTGTGTACGAGTCTGAGTGAGAATAAGCTGGGTATGAGTGTATATGAGTGCGAGTATGCGTAAATCTGAGTGTGAGCGAGCCGTAGTATGAGTGAGTCTGAGTGTGGACGAGGAAGGAGGCGGCGGGAACGAGGAAGGAAGGGAGAAAGTTGGAAGCATCACACTAGTAAGAAGAACCCCCGACTGAAGATATGTGAAAATGCCCCCGTGGTCCCGCAGGGGTTTCCCAACGGCTAAAGGGAACCTGCAGTCCATTAGCGAGGCGGCAATTTCGTTCGACAGTCCGTAACGCAAGCGCTTTCACAAAACAGGGGGCGGCGGTGATCCACCGTAGGGGTCTTCGACACAGAACTCATGATGGCATCGTAGATTGTTCCTTCGTCCCTCTTCTGATTCTACTCTTGTTCGTGTCCATCCCTACCCCCAAAATCAAAATA